GCCCTGGTCACTGTGTCCTCCCTGGTCACTGTGTCCTCCCTGGTCACTGTGTTCTCCCTGGTCACTGTGTCCTCCCTGGTCACTGTGTTCTCCCTGGTCACTGTGTTCTCCATGGTCACTACATCTGCCCTGGTCACTGTGTCCTCCCTGGTCACTGTGTTCTCCATGGTCACTACATCTACCCTGGTCACTGTGTCCTCCCTGGTCACTGTGTTCTCCATGGTCACTACATCCGCCCTGGTCACTATGTTCTCCCTGGTCACTGTGTTCTCCCTGGTCACTCTGTCACCTGAAACCCACAGACCACAAACACTGTCACTGCTTTGCCAGGTTGCTGCCATCCCAGACATCTCTCTGACCCTGTGGGAGCCTGTCCCTGAGTGGTTTGCTGGGGTTGGGTGGCCCTCTGCCTGGCCCACTGGCTGGAGGCCCCACAGTCCTCTCTCTGCACATGGCAGCTTCTTTTCTCTCAGGGAGCTCAACACAGCCTCCCTGACTGTGCCTGTCCCCAGAGTCAGTTCCTTCCTCAGAGCAGAGCTGGGAGAACTACCACCCGGGCTCCTCACAGGCCCGGGCTACTACTCCTTCCCTTGCCCCAATTCCACATCTCTCAGAACAGGCACTAATGGGATTCTGCTTCTCTACAGCCTCCCATTCTCTAAGTCCTGGGCAGCAGACCCCCTCCAGCCTGGGGTAGATCTTCCAGCAAACTTCGCTCAAGCAGTCACGGGTCAGAGAGAGGTCAGCTTGTGGGCAAGGCTGAGAAGACGTTGTCCTGAACAAAGAACTGTGTCCTGAGCATTTCTAATCTGAATTGCAATCTTTGTAACTTCCCTAATAAATGGCGTACTTAAGAGTATCATTTGAACTCTGTGTGGCTGTTGTAAAGAATTACTGAGCCCAGTTGAGAAGTAGAGAGCGCTGTAGGAAGAATACTTGGAGGTAGAATTGGAAGAGAAGGGTGGAGGGTGGAGGGGTGTCTGATTTCAGTCTCATAGAAACCCACGTTGGGTTGATGCTGATGGTGATTTTTCTCTTCCTCCTGGTGAAGTTGGAGGAGGTAAGATGCTACCTGCCTCCACACAATCTTTGGTAGCCTCCTTCAGACAGAGAGGGTGCTGAGGACCTTGGACCCCCTCTGGCTCTCTGGGGAGTCACTACCCTTCCCAGTCTCAGAATAGACTTCTGTGCCCAATCCCGGAACAGAAGCCAGCAAACAAACACATCTGTGAACAAAAGACATATTGAGTCTTTATCCATCCATCCATCCATCCATCCATCCATCCACCCATCCTTCATTCACTGGCTTATAGTTAATGAGATACACTCTCTGGAGCACCCTTGAAAACGAGACATACATTTGGGGGTGTGAGCAGAACACATGTCAAGTCAAAGTCTGTATACTTTCACTACACTTGTTCAATCACTATGCCAAGCAAAGAATTCAAGAAATTGGACTCTATGAAGGAGAAGGTGGCATCAGGATTGGAGAAAGTCTCATTAACAACCTGTGATAGGCAGAGGACACAACCTTGCTTGCTGAAAATGAAGAGAACTTGAAGTACTTACTGATGAAAATTGAAGAATACAGCCTTCAATGTACAGAAAGTGAAAGTGGAGTACACTTCAACATAAAGAAAGCAAAAGTCTGCAAAACTGGACCAATAAGCAACATCGGGATAGAGAAAAGATTGATGCTGTCAAGGTTTTTATTTTACTTGGATCCATAATTAACACCCAAGATTAAAAAAAATGTTTTATTGTGAATTATGTGATAGTTTACATGGGAGAACATTTGTTGTTGTTGTTAGGTGCCATCGGTTCAGTACCGACTCATAGTGACTCTTATGCACAGCAGAGAGAAACACTGCCTGATCCTGGGCCAACCTCACTATTGTTGCCATGCTTGAGTCCATCGATGCTGCCACTTGGCCAATCCATCTCGTTGGGGGTCTTCCTCTTTTTCTCTGACCCTCCACC